GGGGGGGGGAAAATGTGCGGCTTAGGGGCTGAGTGATGAGGGCAAGTTTGGTTGCCCACTGCCCTCAGTCCTCACTACCAGGGGGGGAGGGGGAGTGAGAAAATTTGATGCTTAGGGAGAGAGAGAAGAAAAAGACATTTGCCGCCCACCCCTCCACACAACCCCACAACCACGACTGCGCCTTTACTACCCCGCCTTTCCACCACCCAGGCCATACAGCCGCTGTGGCCTGAGTAACATTGCCCTGCTTATCTGGCAGGTTGCCAAACGGCCCCGGTGAGCGACGCCACGAAACACCGTTGCCAGAGATGACAGAGGGCTTCCCAAGCAGCAACGACTACCGGCCGAGCCGAGCCGAGTTGTAGTAGTTGCCCCAATTGTATACTTCTTTCCCCTATGATCGTTCATCGCGGGGTATAAAAGAATCACCAATAAATGAGATAACGTACTCTAGAGAACGGGATGTAGCATCTATCAAAGAAGCAAAGTATCAGTTAATAAAGGCAATTCTCTTTTGATCACAACACCCACAGAGTTATTGCTAGCTGCACCGATGGTGTGTTATGTCGAAACGGCTGCCGAACAAAGTACCAGAGAGCATTTATCAAGTTCAGTACTAGAAGAATATCCAAGTCAAAACAGCTTAAGGACGGTACCACTGCCGTTCCACAGGCTGCACCACTGGCGTCTCCTATCCAGACCGTCTTAATATTCAACGACTTCGCAATTTTACAGCATTTTATGTGACTTTGTTCGAATAGTCACTGAAGTCACTGATGGTGAAGAATAGTCACTGATGGTACCACTTAGACTATTTCAGAGTCTCCCGAGAGAGCTTCAGTTTTATTTTTGTCTGAGCTACAGGTGCCGTGAAAACTTTTCGGCGTATTTGCTGCATAAATTAAAAACTGTGCAATACGCGAGGCTTCAAAACAGCTTAAAAGACTTACTATTATCATGCGATAGACAATTTTCCCTGACACTTCTCATTCTATTCGTTAAAACCTTCTAGATGGCTGCGATACTACTTCATACCTCTCTCCTATTTCATTTCATTTCAACTAATTTTCCTTCAGCAGTAGCTCGGAATGAAACAAGTCCGGAGCAAGAAGAAGGTTACTTTCACTCTCAAGCGTTACCGATTCCCCTTGATTTCACATATCTGCTTGATACTTCGTCTAGTGAAATGAGCTCATTGTCAGACACGGCTGCTGACACAATCCAGCAACATGCGGGGCAAGAAGATGGTTTGAATTTAGAAGCGTTGCTGAATCCGGAATTTTATTGTCGTGAAGTGGATTTCGTGATACCAGAAATGGTAATAGATTCACTGTGCCAAGACGGATGGAATATCCCCAACCCGTGTACTCCCCGTGTCCCAAATATCCAACCAGCACCGGTATCGAATTCCGAAAATTTCAATCTTGCAACTTTAATTAACGCAGAAAATTTCTTGTCTTGGAATGCTAGTTCGCTTTTAGACCAGCTCGAGAACGAATTACCTGATGAGCTTCAAAAAAGTGAGCCTAAAATTATTGCCGGGGGAATTATTGCTGAACAACAACGTACAAATTCATTCGATCCTTTTCGCACGCAAACTGTTAGAATTCCGAGGTCTGATACTTTGTCCAGTGAAGTGGATTTTGAGCCGCCAAACATACAAACTGATACAAATCAGCCTATGAATATGATGCGCCAACAAGGAGGGTGCATCGACAACCCACACACTATCTATCTTCCAAATATTCAGACAGTCAAAACGTCAAATCCCGAACATTTTAACCCTCCAAATAACGTGGAAAATTTTTTGCTCCGTGGCGGTAGTTCACTTTTGACTCATTTTGTCAACCGTCTACCTGAAAACGAGTTTCACAAAAGTGCGCCAGTTATTACTGCAGGAGAAATTATTGCTGAACAGCAGTATACAAGTTTATCCAATCCTTATGGCACGCAAACTGTTAGAACTACGAGATCTGACACTTTGTCCAGTGAAATGGATTTTGAGCTGCCAGTCAAGAAGACTGATACAGACCAACAAAATATCGAGCAAGATAATTTAAACTCTAATACAGTGATGATTTCTTCGAAGCCTATGGATACGGAATTTTTTCTTCTGGATTTCGATACACCAGAACCGCCGATGAATACATTGCATGAACAAGGACGGGGCATCGCACAGGCTATCCATACTCCAAACGTTCAGGCAGCAGAAACATTGAATCCTGAACGCTTCAGCTTTGTAACTATTAATAGAAGGGAAAATTTTTTGCCTTCGGAGAGTAATTCGCCTGTGACCCAGTCCGAAAACCATCCACCTGAAGCAAAACTTCGCAAGAAGGATCCAGATATTATTGTCGGGTGGATTATTGCTACTCCACTGCATACAAACTTAGTCACTCCCTATGACGGGCAAACGACTAAAGCTTCGACATTGGGTACAATCGAAGGGCTTGCACCCCAGCAAGATTCAGCGCAAGAATATTTGATGGCCCAATACCACTGCAGCTATGTCAGCTGCAACACGCGCACGTCTTCATTCCAAGAATTCAAAGTGCACCTCAGAGGCCACAATCGGGAAGGTGAAAATCGCTGTTACTGGCTTAACTGCGGCCAAAATTTCTCAAGTCCGCAAAATCTCGACTTACATTTCTCCGATCATTTAATGGTTGATTATTCTAGACCTGACAAACATAAGTGCACAGAATGCGGTCAGTTCTTCTGCGCGGAAAGTCTACTGCAACTGCATCGCAAAAGTATTCATCCCCAAGGTAAAAGCCGCTTGATTTTAATGAAGCCTAGTGAAAAGAAAAAAAAAACGCATTATCCTGAGTATCATTCAATTGTGTGTATATACACCTATGTGTGCGCAAGCATGTATGTTTCTTTATGCATGCAAATAATTCAGTTTTGGAATGACAAATATCTTACAAAACGCGATTTTTCACTACATACAAATTAGCAACTAAAAAGCAACTATCATACCTCTGCTCATCCAAACCTCATATCAGGAGAAAAAGTTATAATACTCATTACCTAGTGTGTGGCTGGAAACGGACCTGACAAATAAAAAATTATTTTCAGCAGATTTTTCAACTCTATTCGTAAGACTTCCGCATAATACAATTTATAGTTCTTTAAAATATTTATGCGAATTATGTTTTAAGAACTCCAGACGAGATTGCCTAGCTGTAGGACATAAAAATATTTTCTATTCAGATTTTGTTAAAAGTCCAAAGATTGCAAAATATATCCCCAGTCGAAATATATTCAATGATTTATTCAGTGGTTAATGAATCTTGTGTGCGCTTTTGGAAAAAACGTTTAGACAAATAAAAGTAGTTCTTATGGGAAGTAATGTAAGTCCAGATACCGCTGATTTTAACTATACTGGAATACAAATATTCCACAGTAAAGACTAACCCACATTTATCCATATGTCGATACTTCGACGATTTATTTCTTGTAGATACAGAAAATTTTTTAACTACAATAAATTAGACGTCCAGATTAACAAAGTACATTGAAAATTAAAATTTTAATTGTCAGTGCGGTTCCATGGATAGGTTGGCGCCGCGACATTAATTGCGATATATATATATATTTTAAATTCGTTTTTTTTTAACATATATATACATGTTAAAAAAAAAACGGATTCGAAGTTGGATGAAAGGGAGTGTTACTATCCATTAAGCCGATATATTTCAATTCAACACCCAAATTAGACTATCAGACAATCGGCATGAGTAATGCTCCTAAAATACAGTCATAACGCCCAATGCAACTTCTGTTGGCTCTTTGGTCCTGATTCGTCCCCATTTAGTTTTAAAATTCGAGTTTTCCTGTTTTCTGTTCCAAATTTAAATTTCGCCCCGTCTTACAGTTCAGAAAGCGATATGCCATGAACATAAAATTTTGATGGTTTTTACGGGCAGCAGCAGTAAGAAGATGATAATCGCATAATGGTTTCTTCTTTGCACTAGCGCATTTGGGCAGAGAGGATCTGTGTTTCGTTCCAAAAACGTGTGGTAGTGTCAGCATCATAATGCGCAACATTTTCACTGTAACTCTAGTCTATGTTTATCAAGAGTAAAAAGGTTTGTTTGTTCGGGCGTAAGTGCGTGCTGACTAGTCCAGGAGGTCGGACAGCAAACGACCCCTTGTATGGACACCCACTTCCCGAGCTACTCCTGTCTCACCTAGCGCAGATCCGCAACCTACGGTTGTCTGTCGCACGTCGATCTAAGAGGCGCCCGGCTTTCACTGTAATCGGCAAACGAACGCGCGGGAAAAGAAACTCCAACCAAAATTTGATTCAGTTATCAAATACGAGAGAAAACCAAAAAAAGAAAGGCAGAAAGAAAAAGGAATGGCTTTGTCGACAGTCGCGGTGCGACGACGGGGGTGAACGCATCGGCGCTCTTCGCATTTGTTAGCCAGCTGAATCTCCTATGATTGGTAAGTCCCCTCTGGCCCGGAGATCACCCATTTTATAGGCAGCCTACTGCTGGCCTGCTGATTCTCCACTGCTAACCTGATCCATAATCCAGCTTTCCTATATTTCACATTTTGTGGAAATTAGTGAATATTTTCTCAATTTAAAACAAGTTAGCTGTGCTGCAATGTTGTGCTTGTTCTTTTCATTTAGTTTTAGTGTCTTTTAAAAATATCCCAATTTTTTATATGCGGTCAAGAAAATATGCAATTTGAGAAAGTGCTCTGAGTCCTGGAATTCGTTCGTCAAATTATCGAAGCCACTCATTATCAATGCAAAGTCAAACTAGTCAACTGCAGCAGACTACCATGACATCACTCAAAGCGCTATCCAGGCAAATCTCTACGAGTAAAAGTAATTCATAAATTATTAAATTGTTCGCTATCGCATTATTACGCCTATGAACGAGGCTTCTTCTTTCGTAATGTCTCTCTATTCATTCCGTGGGCTTTCGTTTTCTACAGAACTTGTGCACGAATTTTCATTCCGTGTTGCTGTCCTCTTGCATCAGTCTCTAATTCTGCATTCCCGTCACCCCATCTTAGCATCCCTCTTCACCTTTCTTCTGTTCTTCTGTGCTGGCTAGCATTTGCCGCACGCACATGGAGGAGTAGCTGTTAGGCTGCTCCAACCATATGTAGCATGCTTCTTTGGAGCATGCATCACATTTTTGGTCGCAAGACCATCATTTGCATACTTTCGATTGTAATGCTTACTGTTCGCAACGCGCTTTATATATACTCCCCAAACAAAACCTAAAAATTATTCACTCCTCAATTCCCAGATCTTCCAAAATATAAACATGTTCAGTCTGAAAACCTATTTCTACTATTGTAGGTCATTCTGGACTAATTATAGTGACCTTTCATGATCAAGCCGAAAAAATCCGCCTATGATCATTACCAGGTTTTTGGCGGGATCGGAATGTATATAAGCACAGGTTCTTCTGCATTTTAGAGCCTACTGTCCGTTCGTCGTCAGTTGTCGTCGCCACCTGGATCATCTTTCAGATGACGCTTCTACTAATCGGACTATTCACCTTTTCTACTACTCCCCACCTTCATCTGCGACTCTACTCTTCACGGTAATTTTTTAGCCCATTTGCATGTTTATTGTTTATCATTAGTTACCTTTCCCATTATTACATTATGTATTAGCTATTACGCCACTTCATACCTAAACCACTCGATAGATAGCTTTGTCATTTTCATGCTATGCCACAACTTCTGTGCTCCTCAAATGCCAGTGCAGTTTTGCACGGGGGGCACCTTTTCCGCTCAAAACCACATATACCATACTATATGTCAACCAGCTCTAAACCACATATAAATATGTGTTTACATCGCTTTAATTCACAAGTGTCTATGGATGGGATTTAGCATATTTTCTTTTAACTTTTCACTCGGTTTTCATCCATCTTCTTTACCATCCTACACGATACTTATTTCACATTAGAGAGTTTTCCACTTCTCGGCCGCTAAAGGTTTTGGGAGCTCCTCCATTGATTAGCGGTTAAAAGGTCGTCAGACAGGGAAGCCTGGCACCGCCTGACTTTGGAGGAGTAATTTGGGTATTGGTCGTAGCCCATCAGGCAGCAACCCTTCCCAGCTGCACGATTCCTAAAAGGGTTTGTGCCTTTAGTTTGGCGCATTCCTTCTTTCACTGGTCAGCAAAAACTAAAATCACTTATAATCAAGCTATTTCATTCGAGAGACTGCCCACAGATATTTTAGTTCAATAACTGGGTGGTTATATCTTAAAACAACTTTTTTGCACTGATGTACATGGTCGCATTACCCGTACTACTGATACTGTTAATAACATTCGCTATTACACACATGCCTGTGGCAGCAACTGTATATGCTGCCATATAATTCTTTCTGACGGATTGGTGCAATCCTCCGTCACCGGCTCCCGTTTTGTCTCCCTATGCAATCCCAATGATTTACTTACTTGCAAGAAAAAATAGTATAATATACGTAATTACGTGTAGAGTTCGCGGCATACAATACTAGACCAATCGAGCTCTACAGGTTCGTGCAAGGGAGCATAGATACAGTGTGGTCCGCAAAACAAATACTGTTCTTTATAATCATTACCAATTGCCAGGACATGGACCAGACTCCATGCGCATGAAATTGTTGAATGTGTTGACTGTTTTACCACTAGCTTATTTCAACGGGATCATTTTTGAATACAGACCCTTAATAAGGCCTATCCTTTTGGACTTAATGATTGCATTACGGCTTATGGCAACGTATCAGATGGATTGCTTCCATTCAATATGGGGAAAAATCCATACTTCCAAGCACCGTTACCTCTAAAACTTCGTAGACACGGAAAACGTAGACGAAGTAATAAGCTTGTTAACCAAGAAACTATTGATTTTGCGCTTACTTGTGGCATTGATACCCCTCAGGCTATTCTACTTCTACTTAATAGGCTCTACTGTTCTAATAACAATACTCTTAGAATGCTCCGGCACTACTGATGTATTGCCATTTGCAAAAACCTGCATTCTACAAGGTTTCTTACTTTTCCGACTAAAAACCGGTTCCGCACGTACACATCGTGAAAACACATTCTATTTCACTATTCCTTATCCGGGAAATGCTTTCGTCGATCTGGAACTACGTTCCGTTTTCTATGATACTGCAGCAAGATGTCTGTTACCAATGCACCCTTTCCCTCGTATCACTGTCAGTTTCAAATACCAGAATCCTATAAGTTGTTGCATTATAAACTATGTCTCTTTTCTTCAACGACTTAATGATAGACCATTGGAACTTGCTAACTTACGGTCTTCACCCTGTCAATGTACTCGTTCAGCTTTCCCTTATGAACCTGTTGGACACATCGTTACAGGTAACTTGGAAATTATCCGCGACCGGCAACTAGGGGATGTTATGAAGAAGGGAACCAAATTCGGACCTACGGTTATTAAAACTGCAAAAAAGTTATAACGGATATTTCCAACGCCTTAGATGTCTTCATCTCTGGTATGGCAAATCGCACCGGTACCACTATTTCTGAATATGACAACTTCAAAAACAGGTGGCGAACCGCTAACCGTTGTATCCCTCTCCACAGGGCAACGTTGTTTTTGACAGAGCCTTACATAATATATACAAACAATTTCTCATAACGTCTGTTGACAAAGCCCCAAACAACTACATAGTTATATGAAAAAATACTATGCTCTGTTGCACTGTAATGAGCTCGACTTTAGCAGCCCCAACCATATTCAAGAAAATAGTATATATAGACCAGTATCGCTTTCCGTCCAACAACTGATCTTCCACCATCATAAAATTCTAGATAATTTTCAGCTGCATACCGCTGATAGTGACACATTCATTCCTTTCTTCTATGCTCTTCCTAAGCTTCACAAAGACCCGTATGGATTTAGATTCATCGCCGCAGCAAATAAATCATCCCTCCGAAGTCTTTCGATTATTCTGCACCGT